ACCTTCATTCTAATCGTGAATTCCTCCTTTAAGGAACCTTCTCTTAATCCTCATAACGAATTTTCATTGCCTCAGGGTGAGCTTATGTTTGTGAAATGCACGCTATTTCCTAGCAGGGTGAATAGCGGTCGCGGATTCTTTGACCATTGCTCTTACAGCACAAGAGCAGGGCCAAGAGTGGAACATAAGCGCGGAGAGCACAGACTTGCGCATGGCGAGTGTGAATGTCCGCGCGGGAGAGCGTAACTGACGGCGAAAATCCTCGACGTGCCGTTGAGGAATTCCCGACTGATATTCACCCTGATTTCTAGAGCGTCTAGACGCACATTATCGGGGCAATTTCCAAGCTATGAAATCATTCATACGGGAAGTTTCGACATCGAGGTAGCGGCGCGCTGCACCCCTACTGGTATACATTTCATGACAAGCATTTCGATTCTTCACTGGCTCAAAAACCACGTATATTACAGTGTTTCTTATTGAAACGGCCAAATGGTAGTCAATCTCTAGAAGGCAAACACCGGGAATAGCCTCAGTAGTACTGAGGATACCGCGAGGTAAATCTCAGAGTCCAAACCAACAGAGAGCGTGCCACGCCATCTCACAAAATGTGCAGTGAAGGCGCTAATAGTTAAAGGGGTGCAGCCGCCGACCCCTACAGTGACGCTCCCAACCCACCTCGATTGATGTGGAGATCAGCGCGCTTCTCGAACGGCGTGCTCGCGCGCGTGTCCTATTTTCTTTGATCTCTTTATCGCGTCGTACAACAGCCGAACCGATCTTAATAGAGATTGAGACCTCAATTTTAGCATTTCTGATGAATTCTTTTGCTTTCTCTTTCCACTTTCAGTTCATTACGCAGCTCAGTCATCACTAGGAAGCGCTCTTATATACCAGGTTTATCCCGCGGCTTGCCTTCGACTGTCACTGTGTCTCATAGGTATATTTTAACCCATAACGGACGGTGACAATTTTGCGTGAGCGGGCATGTGTGCCGGCCGGCTTTTACCGCCTCTCGCGCGTGCGCCACCATGTAGCTCACCGGCACCCAGGGTAGGTTTTATGCAAGCTTGTGCTAAAGCGCTGAAAACCATGTTTTTGTGCCGAACTTCATGACCTAAAGGGAATTCGAGCTGCTTGGCATCCATAGCTCCACTCACTTAAGTGAGAGCAGGTTCAGTAAACAAAAAAGGTAC